ACGCGGCGGACGCGGGCGACGTCGAGCTCGCGGGCGTCGGCGAGCCCGCGCGCACGCCCCGGAGCAGCTCCGCGCTCCTCGGGTCCCTCTCCGACTCGCTCCGGGGCCGCATCGAGGCCGAGCCGCCCTTCGCCACGTGCCCCTACTGCGAGCGGGCCTCCTGCGTGCGCTGCAAGGTGCCCGCGCACCGCCTCGTCCAGTGCTCGGACGTCGCGACCGGCGGCGACGGCGACGCGCTCACCGCGGCGTTCGTGAGCGCCACGTCCAAGGCCTGCCCGCGCTGCGGCTTCCGCATCACGCACTCCCACGGCCACGCCTGCCACCACATCAAGCCCGGGAGCGGCTGCCCGAACTGCGGCCACCACTTCTGCTACGCGTGCCTCGCGCCCGGCATCGTCCCGCCGGGGCCGTCGTCCGTCGACGACATCGAGGGCTGGCGGGCGACGGGGGGCGCGCCGTAAGACTTCGGGGACTGCTACCAGCACACCCCTACCCCGCGTTGCCGAAGCGTAGTTTCGAGCGCCCGACGAACGGCGCGCGCGGCTCTGGGCGTCCTCCGCGCTTACTTCAGGGTTGCTTGCTTCTGCGTAGCGCGCGAGTGGGGAAGCTCTCAGCACCCACCGCAGGTCTGCTTGCAGGCCGCCGCGGCGCCCGGTAAGGCGCAGCGGCGGCCGGGGTTCCGCGCGATGCTGACGCAGTCGAGCTTCTTGTTCTTCTTGTTGATGTGCGACCACGCGGCGTCGTCCGCGCACGCGCCCTCGGAGGGGCACGACGCGCAGGCGCGGACGCACTCCGTCAAGGCCCGCGCGCCCGTCGCGCCCTTCTTGCGGCACCGCTTCGTCGGCTTCCTCTCGACCCAATCGCAGGTCTTCGTCGGGGCATCTTTCCGGTGCCAGGACTCGGAGTCGCGTCCCCTCTTCGTGGAGCAATCCGGCCCGTCTCCGTGGGGCCCATCGTCGCCCGCGAAGCCGAAGGTCATCGTCGTCGCGCCGGTGAAAGCATCCGCGTCGCCGCCGGCCGGAGCGGAGATCGAATACACGTGCGCGTGGCCCGCGTTGGGGCCGGCGCCGTGGTTCCCGTACGCCCCGACGGCCAGCGTCGTGCCGTTCGCGCTCAGCGCCACCGAGTAGCCTGAGTAGTCGTCCGCGGCCTCGCCGTCGATGTCGCCGCCGCGCTGAATCCACGTCTTGTCGACGGGGTCCCACGCGAACACGCGCGCGTGGCCCGCGTTGGAGCCGGCGCCGTCGTTGTAGCGCGCCCCGACGGCCAGCGTCGTGCCGTCCGCGCTCAGCGACACCGATTGGCCCGACTCGTCGTACGCGGCCTCGCCGTCGATGTCGCCGCCGCGCTGCTTCCACGTCTCGTCGACGGGGTCCCACGCGAACACGCGCGCGTGGCCCGCGTAGTAGCCGGCGCCGCCGTTGTAGGGCGCCCCGACGGCCAGCGCCGCGCCGTCCGCGCTCAGCGACACCGAGATGCCCGAGAGGTCGCCCCAGGCCTCACCGTCGATGTCGTCGCCACGCTGCTTCCACGTCTCGTCGACGGGGTCCCACGCGAACACGCGCGCGTGGCCCGCGTTGGAGCCGGCGCCGTCGTTCTCGTACGCCCCGACGGCCAGCGCCGCGCCGTCCGCGCTCAGCGACACCGAGTAGCCCGAGTAGTCGTCCGCGGCCTCGCCGTCGATGTCGTCGCCGCGCTGAATCACGTATCGT